TACTTGGACGGGGAACAATCCCTTAAAATTTCAGCTTTCTAGTTTTTCTGGTTCCCAAGTTAGTGATTTACTCGCAAAAAACTTTCACGGCCGGTACGTGGGTACCACGCGGGTAACAGCGCCCATTCTGTGGAATGGGGCCCGAACATTTATGCTGATTAAATTCCCAAAATTCCAGCCCCGTAGCTTTTGTAAGTCTTGAGATGAAATACCGTGACAGATGCATACAAAGACACACAAACAGACAACCCCTCGTCAATATGCGTTTTCTGCATTGCATAGATGCAAAAAACATATAAAAACAGGAAAATCAGAATTATAAGGGAATGTTCCCTACTCAGGTATAGCTGAAAGATTTCAACCGTCTTATGTATATAACATGTTCTGGCGGAATTGCTAACTTGAAAACGAAAAGCTGGAAAGCTGGGATTTCAAGGGAATGTTCCCTACTTATAAAAGATTTCAAATTCAGCATAGAGTTGTGCGAGTGTCACGCAGGGACACGTGAAAGTTCTGGCAGGAGAACTTTTAATTCAGGAACGGAAAAAGCTAGAAAGCTGGAATTTTAAAGGAATGTCCACTACTCATGTGCGACTAAAACAGTTCAGTTTTAGTTCTTCCCGGGAGACTTTTTCGCGCACCAGTAAATTTCCGTTTGTCGAATCACTGAAACCGACAGTTACAGCTGACACACAATATAGCTGCATAATTAACTTCCTGAACATCGTGGGTCAGTATGTCACAAATACTAGCAACTGGATTCCTGGCAATCTTGCTACAGCACAAAATAGTGCAAAAACGCATGTTCACACTGGCCCGCCTGGTGCGCATCGCCAATGATTACGTCAGTTTTTTTAGCCAGTGCGAAACCTAGGCTGGAACGCACCAAACTCTCCGGCGCGATTATGCGTTTCCGCACTGAACTCGCAGATCGCTATTAGCAAGAATGATCTCTAAGCTGAAGCCTAACACTTGGGCTAATATTGGCCGTACTTTGATCCTTACCGGCATGCGGGAGGAAGGGCATCAGTTGGGATGAAGCTGGTGCATTATAGAGCCGCACGGACATCCGGGCGCATGATTACCGGTTTTTTGCATGATGTCCGGTCGTTTTTTCGATAAATGATCGTTTTGTGAAAAAATGACAGATGCAGATTTTTTGAAAAAATGCAAATTTCCAGTTCACTAAAAAGTGGAAGCACTGCTCGAGCGGTCCTTTTTCAGAAAATCTACGTTCATTTACGTATACGATTGCGGTTCAGGTCTGAGTTGCGAACGATTTTTTTGAAAATATGCAAACCTTCAGTTCATTAAAAACTGAAAATATTGCTCGAACGGTCGTTTTTCAAAAAATCCAGGTTCATTTGCATATACAATTGCGGTTAAGTCCCGAGTTGCTAACGATTTTTAGGTTGAAGAGCTGCTTGAGGCTGTGGTTAGGGAGCTAGAGAGATGAGTTTAAAATTTCTG